GTGTGTTTGTGTGTGTGTGTGTGTGTGTGTGTGTGTGTAGGGTTATTACATTCATGTGTAACAATGGATCATGTGTGTCCACACTCCTGTGTGTGAATGTTTGTTGAGAAGTCAGGAGTCAGCCTTAGATGTGGTTTCTCAGAGTCACCGACCTTGATTTGGAGACAGAGTCTCTTACTCAGACATGCACTCACCACTTAGACCAGATCCTCTCTTCCCACATTGGCTTCCACAGTGTTGGGGTGACAGGTGTGAGCCATCATGTCATGTTTTCACAGGGTTCTGGGATAGAACTCAGCCTCTGGTGATTGTATGGCAAGTACTTGATCAGATGAGCAACTTCCCCAGGCCCTTGTTCATGTTTGAGATAGCATGTCTCTAATTTCCCAGATTGGCTTGGAACTCAATATGTTGTCCAGACTCGTTTGATTTGATGGTACTTGTCACATAGGAGATTGGGAAGGCATGGCCCCCATCACAGACAGCATTTGGAAGGTGCTGGTCTAGATCTTGATATTAGTATGATTGACATGTGGGTAGCAAAAGCATTTCCCTACAGGTGATTGGGGATGCTTTATTTCTAACCTGAGAAAAGAACATCCGTGTGCTCAAGAAGTTCTGGTTACCTACATGCAAACTTCAAGAACTACTGGTCTAGGCCAGCACAGTGATACCCAGGTGTGATGCTAGCACTTAGGAGATAGAGAGAGATAGGAGGATCTGAAGATGAAGGTTATCCTTGGCTACATAGAGAGTATGAAGGCAACTGGGACCACGTGAGACTGTACTGGCTAGTTTGGTCAACTTGACATAAGAGAACGTCACCTGGGAAGGGGGAAGTTTAACGGAGAAAATGCCTTCATTGCATTGCCCTTGAGGCTTTTTCTTGATGACTGATTGATGTGGGAGTGTTCTGCCCACAGTGGGTGGTACCATTCCCCACACAATTGGTCTTGGGTACAAATGAAAACAAGCTGAGCATTTTTGGGGAGCAAGCTAGTCAGCAGCATTTCTCCATGGCCTCTGCTTCAGTTCCTGCCTCCAAGTCCCTGCCTGGAGTTCCTACCCTGACTACCCTTCATGACGGACTGTAACCTGCAAGATGAACTAAACCTTTCCATTCCTAGTTGCTCTGAGTCATGGTGCTTTTCTACAAAAGTAGAAACCCCAGCAGGACAGAAACCCTGTTTGAGGACCAGACCTAGTTCATCTACTCAACAAAATATTGAGAGCATCTAGAAAACTTGGAAAGCAGAGTGCACACTGGCTGCTTCCTTTGCCCTGTCCTGATGCTGACCTGTATCTTTTTTGTTAATTTCTCAGCTCCAAACCCAGTGAGAAACCTGAGGGTGGAAGCTCAAAACAGCAGCTCCATCAGCCTGACATCGGATGTCCCTGAGGGCTCCTCCCCATCCCAGAACATCATCTACTGGGTCCAGTGCACTGACGATGGTGGCCAGAGTGAGACCTTGAACACAACAAACACCCGAGTCACTGTGGATGGACTGCATCCTGCCTCTTCATATGTGTGTTCTGTGTGGGTGGAAAGAGATGGAGTCAGCAGCTCCAAGGTGAATGTGAGTCACTCCACAGGTGAGAGCGGTCGGACACTCTTTTCCTCTTTCTTTTTAACCAGAAGTGGTAGAAAGTGGTTGAGACGTGACAAGAGATATCTGCAGGCCTCGTGCACCAGAGGGAATAAAGTGGAAGCCAAGTGTGGAAGATTACCTTTTTTATCAGCCACGTCAGAAATGAGCAAGACATGGGTCACATGGGTGTTCATCGGACATTTCTAGTTGTCCAACAGGACCTAAATAGTCTCCTTTTTCTGCACTTTTCCATTTTCA